CAGCAGGTGCACATAGTAACTCTCTGTACTGAAACTTCTATCTCTGGAGGCTTCCTCGATGTCCGCCGACCAGTCAGTGTCTGATGTTGATGAAAAAGAGGAGGAGGCTCAAAGGGTGGAGCTGGCGATATCAGAGCATGAGGAAGAGGTTGTTTGGGTTTCCAATGAACAACTGTATTCCAATTTCACCGTTGGTCTAAAGCAATATTCTCTCTAATGGTTCATGTGTCTGAACACACAAACTCCCCGAGCGTCCCTCGGACCACTGTGAGCGACAGCAGACGTGTCCACTGTGGTCACGCCAGCATCCAAGTTACATGTTTATTAAAATAATCACATTACAGCATTTACATTTATGTTAGACGACTTTTAATTAACTGCTTTAGCCCACTTACAATGTTCATGAGCTGTGTAGGATGTTAACACTATTGGAAGTTAAAATAAGAGAGTCCTGTAACTCTCTGTCTGCAAAATACAGTAAATAATGATCAACGTTGGGCACAATTGTGTAAATATAAACAACGATAGTATTCAGGAAGAAAACCAAACATTAGCTGTGTCCCAAAATGTCGGTTGCATCCTTCAGAGAACCCGGCCTTCGTGGTCTACGATCGAGAAGGCCGGAAGTGTGGTACAGTCTAGCCTTCTGATTAGCATCACTGCTGTCTCGGAGTTTAATAAACTCGGCCGTCTGCTCCTTGCTATCTAAAATAAAACAGGACACTGGCGTAAATTCTCGACCGTCTCACACTTCTGTTTTAATCAGTTTTTTGTTTATCGTTTATTCATTATGTGTGAAAATCCCAAGGAACCCTTTCTCGCCTTAAAATATGTTTATTTTGTGGCCCAGAAAGATTAATAAGAGTCATTTTAAAACTTAGTAGCACCCGCCATTGTGGGCCGCGCTATGAATTCTGGGATATGGTGGGCTACAAAGGACACGTCGATACCCAATCTGTACCGGAAACCCAATTGGTTCCCCGCATGCGCAAATCTTACGTCACTTCCTCTCTTTGCCAACATTGCGACATTCAATATATTTGAATGGTACGGTTAGCGCCCAGTTAGCTCCTAGCATTTCTCAACAGCTCTGCCTCCTTTTCGACTACCAGGACATTTAAACTATGGATAATCCATATACAAACAAATTCACGCTTTTCTCCTCAACAGAGAGCGTTCCCCAAGGAACAGCGCCGTAAAATAAGAAGAATGGCGCCTAATGACAGAGTTAATAATGCAGACTTTATAATATGTAACGTGAAGATTCATCAGCCAGATGAAGTGTTTACTGACAATTGACAGTGAGAGCAGACATCATCATCACTGTTCCAATCAATCCTCTCCACACAGACGAGCATAAACACACTCGACTATCATTAAATCAAAATCAACACACGTTTGTAATGATGTTAATTCAGTTTACAATAGGGTTCCTTCGCTCGGTCAGCAGGTGGCGGTATCCTCGTACACTGGGGAGTAAACTGCCATTAAACGAACAGAAGAAGAAGAAAACCCCTGCACATGCGCCGTACGGATCGGGTAGACCCGATTTGTACGGTCCGACTTTGCACATGCGCAGTATGGATCGGAGAGTCCTGATCCCTAACTATCTTTTTATTTTTTTGTTTTTGTCTGCATTATATTAAATGTTTCATTATCAGAAACATTTTACTTGTTATTGTTAACATCTTAACAGGTACTCTGACCCGTAACTATCGTAAAATGCTTCGACCGGAAGTAGACACCTTTCGCGCATGCGGGGTACCGATCGGGTTTCCGGTACGGATCGGGTAGTGACAGGACACACCCGACCCATCCTTCAAATTCGTGGAAATGAAGGACGCATTTATCGGCCGCATTTGAAGGAGTCGACCTTCGACGCCTGGCTGTGACGTAATCGGCCTTCACATGCGGCCTCCGGAGGATGCAGCCGCCGTTTTGGGGCACAGCTATTGTGTCAGGATCTAACACAATGTTTGGTTTCACTACCACACACAGGCTTACACAGAAGGAAGGACTCACTATCACCATTGTTGCACATTTGCACTGTAAATAAACGCACTGTCGTTATTTCTGAGCTCTGTGTCCACTCTTTAACAACCGTGACACATTGCGTATTTTTATCGTAACTCTGGTTTTACGTGGCCGATCAACACAATTTAAAAACTGGTATAAAGTCCACAGTTTTTCCGGCAGTTGTTCCGTCTGTCCTGCTCACATCTCCAATGGTTGAACACGTTGTCATTAACGTGGCTTAACTCCACATCAGCCGCTTTGCTCGCTAAAACACCGGTGTCGGCACATAAGGACGCTGTCATAGCCTGTCAACCACGTTGATTAGCTGCGTATATACGAATGTGAATCGTGTGATTGGACTATAATAATGATAATGGATTGGATTTATATAACGCTTTTCAAGGCACCCAAAGCGCTTTACAATGCCACTATTCATTCACTCTCACATTCACACACTGGGGGAGCAGCTACAGTTGTAGCCACAGCTGCCCTGGGGCAGACTGACAGAAGCCAGGCTGCCATATCGTGCCATCGGCCCCTCTGGCCAACAGTAGGTGGTAGGGTAAAGTGTCTTGCCGAAGGACACAACGACCAGGACAGACAGCCCGACCTTCCGGTTACAGATGCGCTTCCCATCCCCCTGAGCCACGGTCGCCCACATCAGCTGCCATCAGCAGGTAGACCGTTTGTCTTGAGCTTGAGTGGAGTGAAGGAATGTATTTACAGCAAAACTGTGCACAAGGTAAAGTCAGAGTTTGATACCCTTTGCACTTGGAAACAGACGGTAACAAACAGGTATAACCATTTATTATTATTGTTGTTGTTGTTATTATTATATGTATGTACTGTCTGTTTGTGTTTCATTAACAGTAGTACAGCAGTATTGGCTTAAAACTTTGCATCTGGTATTCAACATTCTAATTTTCTTATGCTTATTTTTAGCATGAGGTGCTAATAGAGCCTCATTTGGTTGTGTCATAAATGACTGTGTGATTGATTTAAATTCAGTACCATGTGTGGATACTTTAAAGGTACATTTTGGATATGGTTGAGATTTCCAGTCTGCTGTGCACCCCAAACACCCACAGGCTCTGGGGGCAGCTCTCTGGTAATAATCTGCAGTGTTCATGCATTGCCCCTAAACGACTCAGCCATGTCCCATTCATGATTATCTGGTCAATACAAAAAGAGAAATGCAAAGAAAGTTATAAAATATCAGTCTGACAGCTCATGATAACTTCTTGTCATAATTTTAAAAAGATGTCCCATTAAAGCCTGTAAACTATAGTGAAAACAATATTATAGAATACAGAGTTATACTGAGGACATAATACTGTAAAACTGTCTGTGGATATTTTCGTTTACCTACATTTATGAGTCATCTACACCTGGAGATCTCAAAGATAGCCTACTGGCAACAGAACAATTTTAACAGGAGGCTACGTCCAATGTTATAATCTTATTATAATCAAATCAAATCACAAGCGCACTTAAAGGACAATTAACCCACTAACCATATTCCTTCTTCGAGTTTATGTTGAGGATCAAGGAGTGGGTGAAACTCTATGTTTGTCAGAGATATACATTAATATAAAAGTTCTTATATTTGTCTCCTCAGAGATGATGCTACACTTTCACTTATAAG